ATATGCACACATTACGAGGTACCACTCAAATTCAAAGGCAAAGTAGGCACTTGAACATGTAATACTCAATAACAAAGATGTGCTAATCTCATCATTTATGAATGCCGAAGAAAAAAATCTATTGGTGTGAACCAATGAATGGTAATATGCACACATTACGAGGTACCACTCAAATTCAAAGGCAAAGTAGGCACTTGAACATGTAATACTCAATAACAAAGATGTGCTAATCTCATCATTTATGAAAAATCTATTGGTGTGAAAGCTGATTAGTAAAGATGGAAAGGCCTCCGTCCAAAAGCCAGTGCTTGACTCAAATTCAATGCTACAGGCATCAACAAGAAAAAAAGAAAGAAAGAACTAGAGAAAGAAAGAAGAAACAGCTGAAACCGATTTCAGAGGGGAGGACTGAAACAATGAGGGAATTAAAGAAAGGGTTTCACATGTAAATTCAAATCAAAATTGCTCTGTGTGAAGATGTTCTTATATTGTCTGGCTTTGATCTCATTCTAAAGAAGATTCATTACTGTCATGCCGATAAATGTGCTAACTTTCGGTTGAAGAGAGAAAGTGGGGGTGGAAAGACAGGACACCGAGCATGTCTTGTGCATGTAATGATCGCCTGATAATACTTAAGTGCGGAAAGCAGATGTGTTCAGACAGGCAGAGCGAATTAAATCCAAGTGTTTATTGCCAAGCATTTCCTCAAAGCTCTTTAATTCTTCGCAGTGAATACGAGCAGTTATATTGTTGTTCGTAATAGACCACCTGTCGGCAAACTATCAAAGTTATTTTTTCCTAATCATTCAAGATGATTACTATAATGAAATGTGGTTAGCAATAAACCAATTAAATCACTTCGTTTACTACTGAAATTAAGAGGTCTATACTCATTTGGCCACTTTCTGGGTCACGACTGGGGGAGGGACGGGTCTACAGGCGGACAATACAAGCGAACAATAAAGGCACAATGGCTTTTGGGGCCTAATACTAACGTTGCACTCATGCGTAAACACACACGCAGTCACACAACAAGCCACTTCGAAATTCTTTAAGGGTGTCAGTGTGAGAAATGTTGGGCAACACATGGTAAAAGAAGGTAAATGAGCAGAGGAACAATGCAGAGAAGAGGGCCAAGACAGGCTAGATGTAAATTAGAATCAAAACATATGCACTCATTTAGTATACTCTCAAATACCCTTTCCAATACAGAAAACCCCAAAAGACTCCCATGGAAGGAAAGTCATTAACTTGGCCATTATGTGAGAAAATGCACAAAATCAGAACATGCTGAAATGGTTAAAGGTGCACTTGAAAATGTTTTTTTTTCCTTTCATAAAACAGTGATGCACCAAAAATGATTTTTTTTTTTTTTTTACAAAAAAGTAATGAAAGTCTTTAAATGCAATTTATGATGCAGTGAAGGTGGCAGTAGAGAGGCTAATGCCATTGTTGTTCAGGACAACAAATGAAATGATCGAAAAATACACATTTAGTTACACAATAAAAGTTACCAATAAAATGTGCAACACTTCTACCAAATTATATGTAATAATATCTAATTATTATATTAATATTTAACTTACATTGGAAAGGTTTACGTGAACTCTCGCGAGATCTCTGCAACAATCTCACGATTTATTCCAAAACATGATGCATGATGGGATACACTAAGCCTGGAATAGCGCTCCGGAGCGGTATTCGAGATAGTGTGGATTTATTGTGCATGAAGGGCACAGTGCTTTTGTGTTTTGCGCACTCACTTCCTGTCGCGCGCATCAAGTGGCCAAGACGGCAAGTGTGGGTATTTGGACAAGGGATGCGTCTTTGTGAATTTTGCGCCAACAATGTCTAATTGTTGAAGTTATTCGCCAACTTGTCGAGGTTTCACTCATATCTGTAGCACGAACTGTGCAGGATGAGCTATGTGTTTGTTTGAATAATAATAATAGTATTCTTTAATAAACACTACTAATGGGTCTTGATTTACTCTGACTTGATAAACAACCAGCTTGGCCGTAGAGTCAGGCGTAGATGATTTGTTTATATTTATGGCAACTGTGTTTCATTAAGAGTTGGAAGGCAGTATGGTGTTTGAGTGTGCCAGTGGGAGCATGGCAGGGGATTGTGGGAAGGGTGCAGTACGTACTGGAGTGTGGCACTGGGTGTAATTCTGAGCAGTTCTTATTCAGCCCCTGCAGGAGTTTGTCATCCGGGATCAAAAGCCCATCTGACCAGAGCAGCACAGAGAGAGGCTTCAGACACAAGGAGCAGTTTTCATGCCGCGCCGACCCTGCCAGGGCCCGCTCACACGGACACGCGCGTACACAGACAAGCAATCACATCAATCTCGATTTCATTCTATCATGCCTACACTCTCTCTCTCTCGGTTTCTCTGCGTTTTGCCTCCCTCCATCATTATGTTCTCCTCCACTCCACTTTCCCCCCTCTCTTCCTCTGCTTTAGCTAACGCACAGGCTTTTCTTTCCTTTTTGATTTGATAGACATCCCAGTGACCCTAAAACTGTCTCTTGTGATGGATGTGAAGGAAGAGCATGTTTAAGAGATGCCAGTTCTCTCCTCCGTAGAGATCTACCCATCCAAAACTACCATCCCATCCCATTCCTTCCTCTTTCTTCTTTCTGCACTGCTTCCTCCTTTTCACGCTCCACTCCTTTTTAACATCTGCACCCTCTCTGCTTGTTTCAGCCCACATCTCTTCTCTCATCCCATCTCTCTCGCACCTCTCTTCTTCATCTGATTCTCTGAGGGACCTCGGTGGCGCATCAAGATGTCAGAGCGTTCGAATGCAAACATTCATCACTGGCGTGCATTGAGAGCGTACACACAGAAAGCCACTCAGCGACTGACATGCCTGGCAAGAGTCATAAATACAGAGAGCGCAGCCAAACGACTTGGGACCGTGTGTGACAGTTCTCAAAAGTTTCAGCTTTTGGGACTGAAGTATTTTTAAAATCTTGTTTAGGACTAAAGGAAAACCCACAAAGACACCTGTTGATGCATGCTGTATGTACAGCAGCACTATTCGTTCACTATGAATTTAACATTGGTCTTTTTTAGAGAGAAAAGGGAAGGAAATACCATGACCTACCTTGTATTTTTAACAGCTTCATGACAGGAAGAAACCGGCTCTAATTGCATTGCATGAAAGCGCAAGAGTCTCACAGGGTTCCCACAAATTCTGACCAATGAACTTCCAAAACTGTATGTCTCCTATTAGTCAATACTTGGGATTACTGCATAATTCACTGGGTAAAAGAGCACTTTCTTGCATATTAAATGCTTCAGATTTTCAGTGACATTTAATAATATGAAATTTATAATTATTTTAAGATTTCTTAGCATTTCCAGGTTTTCCATTACTGTCAACATTCTGGTCTCAGATCAACAGATCTTAACAAGGCAATGCTCATAAAAAAAAAATAAATTTTAACCTTCAAATTTGTGTTATTTCATGTAAAATATCATATCAAATTTGTGTTATTTCACGTAAGATATCATATTAATGGTTTCCACCTTCGTCTATAATAGTCTCTAAATTCTTTCCATGAGCAGACCCTGACAGTGATTCAGAAGTTGAGCTTACTTTGAACTTTTTCTTGCAAGTGGCCTGCTTCTAAATATAACTTTTGAATAACAAATGTTCAATTTCTTCAAAAGTGAAGCTTTGAATGATGAGAGACACAAATCCTTGAGGGATTTCAGGTTTAAAAAGAATAAACTTGATTAGGGAAAACTGATGGCTGCACTGCATGGAATCAAACTAGTATGATGCTTCACAAAGCAGTGATGACTCCGTTTCTGCCTGACGGGATGTGATCAATAACCTTCTGACCTCCTTAAGGTTGGGGTTTGGGCCACATCCAAAGCCATAGCAAGACCTTGACATTAACATGGGGAGAAAGCTGAGTCTGCAAGCACGCAGAGAAAGTGAGAGCGGGAAAAGAGTGCCAGCCACCAATGCTAAAGAAAAGTCACAGGAGTGGGTGTTCTTGCAAACTGTTTTGAGTCGAATGCATTCATGCGTCTGCATTAATGCAACCACCAAAAGAAAGAGAGATGGATTTCACAGCCCCAACACTGAAAAGCCCACAGCATCTCCATGCCAAATGCATTTAACACGGTGAGGCGTTGCTTGCAATACAATCGTATTTTTGAATCTTTTAATCTTGCTGCCATTTTAAAGACTGAGATGCTCCTACGCGTGGCACGCAAAATCTGTGCTCTGCTTTAAAACATCCTAATTCAATCAGTAACACACCGCCCCCCCCTTGAAAAACAGCCTGACGGGTACCAGAACGACCCAGCTGGCACCGTATGCAGTCTACAGCCTGATGAAGCCGATTCCAGTCAAGGCTTAACTGAATTCTGCTCTGAATCATAATTCTGAATCTCAGAGTGTGCCAGCGTCCTTCCCTTCACACCCTTTCTCTTTCACACGCATGCACTTCGTAAATTCATGCATCCTGCTCCCTCTACTTGTCAGTTTGACGCTCAGTCAATACGACATGTGTGTGACCTGAGAAAATGTGCATGTTGACAGCATATGACCTTTACCGCTTTTGTTGAGACACACAGGCACGATCACCCACCCCTCTCTCCCCATTTTCCTCATTCTGTCTGTTCATCTCTCTTTCCTTGTCCCCCCTTTGCTTCTCTCTCTATGTCTCTCTTTTCATTTCAATCCATCCCAGTCCCCTTGTGTCTAGCTTATGTCCCTCCTTTCCTCTCTGCCCCTTATTCTTTTCTATTTCAGGTTCTCTGATACCCTTAAGGGCACTAAATGTTCACCTCGTCTTTAAAAATCATGTTACAACAATAGTTTTATACATGCATTTATGCATGCAATAGCATCATTATAATCCACTTTAACAAAATTGGAACTTGGTAAAATATTTACTTGTCAAAATAATGTTTTAAACCCAAGATAAATTAAAAGTCACACAAACTCGTTTTATGATACACAACTCGAAACTTACCTTGAGCGTGCAACATGTGGGTATTCCAGAGGAACACAAGGGCAAAAATCCAACCCCACATCCCGCACTTCGCTTTCCCAGACATCACCTTCTGTGTATTTCCTTGGCGGTGAATAATCCCTTTAACTTTGCCCTTGATAAGTGGGCTCTGACCCCCGCTAAAGCTGGAATCTATAACCTCGGCAGATGTGGAGGTTTGTGAGAAAAGCCTAAAGTGCGCGCTCCGCTTCGCCGCATTTACGAGGCGATTCTCATTCATCCCACACGCGGGAGAGTTCAGCTCCGAGTCCGCGACTTTCCCGGTCGCTTTACTTTCATGTCTCACGGCTTTCGGGAAGCTCTCACCCTCGTCAGCGCATTTAGCAGTAAAACAAACGACACCTTCAATCCAAAAGGACCAAGTCTCCGTACGCTGCTCCAAAATTGCCGACACGCTCCGCGAACATCCCTTCAATAATCGCGAGCCGCTCTTCTGTGTCCCGAGACGGCTCATGATGTTTCAGTATTGATTCCAGTTAAGTATTAATACGTTTGAGTGTACCGGATTTAATTTATCCGCTTAGAGCGCCAATATCTCCAGTAAAGCCACGTTGTTTTGACGTATTCGCAGTCGGATTATCTACCCGATCATTTCGAGCATTTTCACGGCATTCAGCGACTCTTGAAGAATCCCTTACAATCCATAGCGGTGCTCATTAGATGTGCCTTTATCCGTTTGGAGCAGTTCGCGGGAAATGTTGCTTTAGGCTATTAATCTAGTTAAGTGTAAGGTTACACATAAGACTTTTTGTATCCAACGGGTTAAGCAAGACGCAAAAAGAACCAAGAACGTCCAGTATAAATTCCTCGTAAACGAAAAAACACCTGTGAACAGAAAAAGCAGACGTCATAAGTATGCAAATTTCGAGCGGTGTAATATGACTTAATTCATAAACCTTCTGAGTAGATAATAAATCAGATATAGCCTACATTTAATACATTTCTTTGAAAAGGTGTGTTTTGGGAATAACAGGTAGGCTATACTGCCAAAAACTTAAATAACAAAACAAACCTAAAATGTTGTAGGCTATCAGTTTTTTTCACAACCAGTCAGCTACTTTGATTAAGACGAAGATAATAACTTGCAAATCAGTAAATTAGTCTAATGAATTCAGTACCTGAATGATTCATAAGGGGTTTGATTCACTAAAAAATGGCATAAAATCATTTGCCCACACTCGTAGCGCTGCATGTCTTTGATTCACTAAAAAGAGCCGACTCTTAAGAGTCACTCCTTTGGGAATCGGATTACGCTGGATGCGCTCTGTGTTTTTGATTCACTAAAAAGAATCAATTTATAAGAGTCATTCTTTCGAGGTCGGACTAGAGTCGCGTTGTAGCTTCAGGAGCAGGGTGTTTGTAAATTGTGAGACAGGAACACTGAAAAAAAAATGATTAATTGAATTTACTTGAATTTTGTTAAGGTAAGTGGTTGCAATCAATTTATTTTAGCTACATTTAAATAAACACATTTTGCTGAAAGTTAGTCAACTAAATGTGTTTATTTAAATGTAGCTGAAATAAATTGATTAAAAAAACAGTATCATTTTTTTCAGTGAACTCTCAATAGTATTTGTAATGCGGTATAATATCAGACGAATACAAGTTATAGAAAAAAATCAATGCAAATAAACGTCATGTTAAGGATTTTGTGCTTGTATTTATTTAAAAAAAAAATTATGAATAATGACCGGTTCTCATTTCCAAACCCTAATTGTAAACATAGACCAACGCTCACCTTCATCAACGGTTAAACTCTGTTCCAGCAGTTAATCCTTAAATTCGGTTTTGCAGTGAATCGATGTAAATTATCTTTGAAAAGTTAAATGAAAGTCCTCAGCTAACGTTCTTGCGGTGTGGATGGCTGAATTAATTCATCAAACGAAGAGAACTGAGCTCTGTGGCGCTCACCGAACACCTGCTGCCCGGACCGAAGATAAAAATAAACTTGCAACAAAGCTCCTGTCAGGCAATTCAAAGTTCAGTCGGACGCAAGTAAAATTGCCATTTCTTTAAAAGGCTTTGAATGAGCGGCTCGAGTTTCTCTTCTCTGGAATAATAATTTGTACAGAGCTGAATTTGAAGTTGAATGCAGCGTCCCACGCGCTCCGCCCTGCTGAGCGATGATTGGTTCCCTCTTCTGCACACTACAGCCTATTTTTCATGGAGAGCACGTGGAAAAGGAGAAGCTTCTGAAACACGGTGCCATGCGCCCCCAATCAGACAGGAACATTTATGCTGAAAAGTCACACATGAAAAGTTTTCAAACCTCTTTTTAGAAAGTTTAAGTCTCAGAAAGGGTTTTTTTTGTTGTTGTTGTTGTTATTATTACGTAATAAATACTGCTGCGGAGTTTTATAAAGGGTACAAAAGTATTTATTTTACACACATGTTGTTCCAAACCTGAATGATTTTCTTTCACCTGTGGATTTTTTAATTTTTTTAAAAATGTCTTGACAGATCATTAAAACGCCCATATACATGTAACGTGCACTATATTCCAAGACTTCTAAATAATAGGCTATACACCAATGAAATTTAAATGGTTATTTATTGAAGTACTTACATTCAAATAACGACACATCAAGTGTTGATAGAGAATACTTGCATGTGCTGATTTGAGAGCTATGATTTGAATTTAGTCATGTTCCTCAAACAGCAATCAAATGGCTTTAGGGCTAGCAAACGCGTTGCATGGACCAGTTTTGGGATAGCCTTCTCCATTTTTCCATTTTTAGGTTGGGAGCAACATTAAAGGGGTCATATGATGCGATTTCAATTTTTCCTTTCTCTTTGAAGTGTTACAAGCTCTTGGTGCATAGAGAAGATCTGTAAAGTTGCAAAGACTAAAGTCTCAAATCCAAAGAGATATTCTTTATAAAAGTTAAGAGTCAACCACGCCTACTTAAACCGCATAAACACATTTCATTACACCAAATACACAAAATAATTTTCTTTTTAGCAACATCATATGACCACTTTAAGGGGAGCTAACAAGAACAAAATAGTCATTTATAGATGAACTCTTCCTCTAATTCCTGCAGAAAAAATGCTTGGTAAACAGTAAATTAAAAAGTGATTATGAAAATCGATATGAAAAATCAGAGAGGTTAGAGTGTCAAGATCAATGTGCTAATATTGAGCCAGCATAATGATTCTTATTAAGACGACGGATAATTCTTATGATTCTTATGAGACGGATAATTAAAGGGGTCATATGATGCGATTTCAAGTTTTCCTTTCTCTTTGGAGTGTTACAAGCTGATTGTGCATAGATAAGATCCCTGAAGTTGCAAAGACTAAAGTCTCAAAACCAAAGAGATATTCTTTATCAAAGTTAAGACTCTGCCATACCCCCCTAAAACAGTTTGTTCTAACACGCCCCCACATATCTACCTCACTATGTGGAAATATTTGCATAATGCCGCCCAAATGTGCACGCAAAGAAAGAAGGCGTGGTTTCAGTAACCGCAGTTAGTGTTGAAGCAGCCATGTCAGGGAGACGC